AAAAGATTCTTTGTGCAAAAATATAAGTCAATGTTACATTTAATTAACAAATTATTATTTTTATGACAAATAATAAAAAATTTTCGTTATAAAAGAACCCTTCCATCGAAAAAAAAAAAAAAAGTATCAGATTTATAACAAAGATATCAAAAAAAAAAAAAATTTAGAAGTAACCCTGTAAACCCTTTCAAATTCACAATTTTGCGCGTTGTTCAAAATAAAATGACAACGACACACAAGCACAATAATAAACCTTCACAGAAGGTCAAAAGTAAAATTATAAAAATTAAAAATGTTGACTTTTGTCACTTGGATAACGTTCGTAAATTCTTCCTGCGAACTGGGAAAAAAGATTATCCGACAAACTGCTGGACGAGAGGAAGAGTATTCGGGAAGAAGAGTAATATACTCCGTAAAGAAATTGGAGTATGCTCGAACACAGCTGGTCAAGAATACCTTGAAATACTCTCGGCTCTGCTAAAGCCTACTGAAAGAGGAGAATGTCGCTGTCATTGAATTGACCCTGCCAAAACTCCTATTCTGGTCTACTGCTGCGCAAGAGGAATATCCGGGTACTGCTGCGCAAGAGGAGTATCCCGGGTACTTCTGGGCAAGAGGAGTATCTGGGTACTTCTGGGCAAGAGGACCGCCTGGATACTGTTGGGCAAAAGTGGTGCCCGGCCCGCTGAGGATGGACTAGAGCCAACTGCACTCTAGGCAAGACTTTCAGCAAATGACGATTATCTTTGGATCTTCCCCAATTTAACTCCCTGCGAATAATTTCCATTTTTATACCTTATTAGCAACATTCGCACATAAATAAAATTTAGAAATTTTAAATTTATTACATTTTATCTGTTTTTTTAAATTAATAAGATAATAAAATAAAGTAATTTTAAAATTAAATGTTATAAATTATACATAAACGACAAAACATTAATATATACCATTATACTGTAATAATTTTTCGATAATTAAATATTCTAGAAATTACAATGAAAATAAGCCTGTTTCCAAGTCCTACTCAATAAAATTTCAAATTATTTTACGTTTAGATGCGAAAATTCACCAACTGTATTTTTATAGAATAATTAGTCCGGATGACTATATTATGTTTTAGTCAAATTGAGGTACACTTGTGCTCCGGACAAAATGTTCTTATATAAATTGATTAGGTATTCATTATCTGGACATTCATATTCAAAATTTAATGGTAGCATATTAAAATCTTTTGAGTATGTTTCGAACACCGACCATTAATTGAAGTAATTGCATTTGTTGAACGGTTTGCATTACCGTCGTTAAATGCAACCATCATTGTTTTTCATTTTATTCGTATGCAAAATAGGTTCCAGTGTTGTATTCACAATCACGTATCCCATATATCGCAGTTTCGGAAACCATTGTTGTCCGGTGGATTTGAAGGATCAAAATTAAATCTGAAACTTACTTTCAATTTAATTTGTTTGTAACATTTTTTAACAAAAAATAATTCGCATTAGTACTATTATGAAAAATTAGCGGAAATGTCGGCCAATCAAATGATTAGAAATTTCTCGGAGCCAATCAAATTACAGTATTAGCGCCAAAAATCGCCATGAATATTTTTTTTTCTGACTTTATGTATTTTAAAACTTCTTTAGGTGGACATAAACATCTTTACCATAAGTTTTTTCACATAGTAAACAAATGAGACAAATTGGACATGTATTTAAAAGGAAGTTTAATGAACTATTCATTGTTAAAGTTAAATAAATGATCATTCATAAACCCTATAAAAAAGGACCGTCCAAAGACAGAGAAAAAGCAGTCGGGTCATCTGAAAACTTCTGGACGTCCTTTTTCATAAGGTAAATTCAAGTTGTGTTGCGATGTATTTAAATATTTAAGACTTCATTTTTATCCCAAAAAAAAATTCGTTTAATAATGCTCGAATATTAACACGTTAGTTCGTTCATTTTACACGTTTTCATTTTTACATTTTTTTTTTTCAATTGGCGATGACCGATTTGTATATTTACTATTATTAAATCATATTAAAAAAAATAAATTTTTTTTAAATGAATAAATATTCCTAAGTTTTATAATAACGGTAATAAATAAAAATATACAAAGACATAATTTTTTTAACTCTCATTCGTAGGCAAAATTTTGACTTTATTAATCATCTGCAGTTTTCCGTTTTACTTTAGCCGATAACGTATCTTTTTTGTGTTCAACATCA